CTTAATTTCTCAGGTCCTTTAAAAATTATGATACAGTTTTTTTTAATAATTAGTTGTTGAATGAAGGTTTGAAAAATATGGTAATGAGTGTGTGAAAACTCATGGAGGGCTATGGTGAAGTAACCTCTTTGTGCATGGGGATTTGGGCAGTGACAAGGGGAAGACAGCTACAGACTTGGAAGATTCCAGAAGCTGTGGGAAGATATTGCCACAAGTGCATAGGGAGGCTGTGGCTACAGATGACTTTTGAACATTATTTATTTTAGTGAGAAAAAAGTGATGAAACAGTTTCAAAACAGGTTAGTAGGAACTTACAACCATTAATACTTTGCATATTGTTGTCTTCGTAGTGGTTATTTGGAGGACAAGATACAGACATGATACCTTGTCTAAACAATATTAGTACAAACTTTTATTCTCAGTGAACTAAAAGAAAGTAGCTGTGTATCTATCCTAACTCTCTAATATATTATATTTCCTTTCCCCTTTTTTTCAGAACAAAAAACTGTCTTTCATTTACACTTTTGTGAAGTTAGTAACTCATGACACTAGGTTGCTTAGCAACTGATAGCAAACCTTAACCAGACAGGATGTTCATCTGTGAGGTAACTTGTTTGCTTTAGGCACTGGGTCAAGTCCCACCTATATATATTTGATCTATTTCTTAGCTTTGCAGCTCCCAACATATCCACTCCCCTTTTCCATCTTGGTTTTTCAGAGATGGGTGTTCCACTGCAATTAGAGAAGCTGTATTTGGAGAAGTCTTTAAAGGACCTTTTCATACTTGAAACCAGTCTGAAGATTGTAGGTACTTGAATTCAGCAAAATAACCCAATATAGTCCAATAGTCCATAATAGTAGGGGGTTATCAGCAGAACTGGCACTGTCAGCAGTTGTTGACTTGAGCCCTTTACAGCTCAGCATATTAATATGGCTTTACTTTTTTTTGCACTTGCCAGGGAAGCACTTATTTCACTGAGCTATCTCCCCAGCCCGTGGCTTTACTTTTTATACCACATGTTTATACTTTGCTGTGGAATGGTTAAAACCAAGCTAAAGCAAGACCTATATAACTAAAAGTGTAACTTTTGCTATTTGATAAGGTTAGTCAAATCCCCTCAGGATTTACCGTGGAACCATGTACCGCACCTTGTAGATCTTTTGTTAGTGTCAGTCATGTGGATGAGTCATGGCCATTACTTGACAAATTTGCTCTCTGTGAAAGCCTGAGAGGATGTTTTCTCTCCATGTGACTCTCCTTAGGCACACTATCCATCCTCGATCATTTTCCTCTGTGGCCCCATATTCTCCTTGATCAGAAAATTTTGGACACCACTGATGAACTATTATTTAAGTATCTGGAAAAATAGAGAAGTTGTTTGCACATCTGAGAAATCAAAAATATCCCTCAGGGTGAATACAGGTAACTTTAGTTCACAGGTTAAAGTCTTTGGAGACTTAGATATCAGCTTCTGAATTATCCATGAAAGCCAGGCTTTAGAAATCCACACTTAGATGATCAAATGATCAACGATGTACACAGACACCCATCCTACAGACCTTTTATCTTAAAGTCATCTAACCTGGATTCTTTTCAGGATCTAGGCTAGTACCTCCAACCTAGTAAAAATCTTTTCTATTTTTGTATTTAGAAAAGTCACACTTTATATGGTATAACTGAGAATCACTACCATTATCTTAACAAATCTTGTTTTTCTGATCTTTGAGCTATCATACGCATAAACAAAGACAAGCTTTACATGAAAACATAGAGGCTGAGATAATTTCACCCATGTTATTAATTTTAGTCAACTCGAGAGGCTAGGACGTAAGTTAATTTGAAGATAAATCTCGTCTTTAACAAAAAGAGCTGACAATCCAGGTAGCATGCTTCTGTGCCTTTTAAAATGATTATAAACTCTGGTCACAGGAGAAAATAGTCTAGCTAGATTTCCAAAACTTCAGGCATTATGATCTAGGAAAGACTTTCAGAAAAACGTACAACATCTTCTGGCCATGTTGTGTGCTGAGAGAGCTAACGTGTCTCAGAGAAAACACAGGAGGCCTTCTTGGTGTCTCAGAATAAGACTGTCTGAAATGATTTGAAGGTGAGATCATTCAGATTCACAGTACCTTCCAAGGAACTTCTTCATGGTCCTCACCAGCACAGGATAATGACAACCGGAATGGCCAAATAGCTCAGAGGATTAAAGCAAATGCAAGTAGGTGCAGGGGCCAAGGATTTGATCCCAAGGCCTGCCTTGCTGGACATGCCGCTGGAGCACGTTGAGACAGCAATTGAGACTGGGCATGATGGTGTGTGCCTATAATCCAGCACTTGGGAGGCTGTAAACAGGCAGATCACTATGAGTCCAATCTAGTACTGAGACCCTGAACACCCTCTAGACCCTTCCCTAAAAATACAAAAAAACAAAACAAAACAAAACAAAACAAACAAAAAAAAAAAACGATAATCGAACCCTGGCTCACCAGGAACACACATTAATCCCAAGGGGATGCACATTATCTGGTGCCTACAAAAGTACCTGGGCATGCAGGCACACAATTTTGCTCAGAGAAAAGAAACATTTTATTTTGTTTATTCATTTTTAAAAAAATTTATGTATTTAGTACAGGTCTACAGGGTCTCACTACACAGATCAGACCCCTAGTGATCCTCCTGTTTTCACCCTCCCAAGTGCTGGGATTACAGGTGCACCACCACATCCAGTCTTAAGTGCTATCTCAGGGCGCCCTGGTGGCCATCAGGCTGGGGATCAAATCCCTCTCCTCTGTGCCTGCCTAAGCAGATTCTTTAATCTGCTGAGCTATCTGGCTCACCCTAGAAAGAAATATTTTATTTCAAACAGAGATACTAAGGCAAGACTTTAGCCCTATATTGTTACACAACACTAACATGTACCTATTCCTAAAATGATGCATTATAGGGTTTTCCCAGGTAGTGTGAGCTAGAGAAATTAGCCTGTAAAGCCACAGAGAAAATATTTAGAAATCAATGTAGCATTTTCCTCTTGAAAACTACTTCTCACACAATGGGA